CCTGAACCCCTAATCCCTGAACCCTAAACCCTAAACCCTAAAGTAGGACCATCAAGGCTTCCTCCTGCGCGACTCGCGGCCAATCGCGCAGTCACGGGCAGATTTCGAGCAGCTGGAGCAGGCACGCCCTTTGGGTTTTAGGGTTCAGGGTTTTAGGGTTTAGGGTCTAGGGTTTGGGGTTTAGGGTTTAGGGTTTTAGGGTTTCGGGTTTAGTGTTTCGGGTTCGGGGATTAGGGCCTTTTATCCCGATGATTTTAAAGGCGGTATTCTCGAGATGTTTTTGTTGCCTAAGGTCTACGTGCAAGCTCCTGAAATACTACTGTTGATGGACAAAATTCTGCATGACCCAAGTATAGTATAGCGGTCATGCAGGATTTTGTCCACCAACCCCTAAACCCTAAACCCTAAACCCTAAGGATTTGGTCCATCAACCGTACGACCCTAAGCCCCAGACGTCACTTCAATTGCCGGTTCACGGGTGGGGGAATGCAGGTCCTCAGGGCATCTTTTTTGGGGTTTTGGGTGTCAAGGTTTAGGGTTTTAGGGTTTAGGGTTCAGGGTTTTAGGGTTTAAGGTTTAGGGTTTAGGGTTTAGGGTTTAGGGTCTAGGGCTCAGAGCTTTGAGTTTAGGGTTTAGGAGGGTGCAGTTGCGGTACCTTGCTTCTGGCATAACAAAGAGGACTTAGAGTCTAAGGAAGTAGCTACAGTATCCCATACGAGCGACATGAGTACAGTTCTGTTTCGGGTTTAGGGCTTAGAGCTTTGGGTTTAGGGTCTAGGGTTTAGGGTTTAGGGTTCTGTAGCTGCAAGAAGCTGCTGATTGAACTTGGGAGGTTTTTGGCAAGCTGTCTGGCGAGACCAAGGCCATCCAGAAAGGCACATAAGGGAACAGGTCTCCCTTGCTTGGAAGTGTGGTTTAAGGTTTAGGATTTAGGGTTTAGGGTTAGAAGTGTTTGTGATGGGGCTTTATAGCGCTTTACGGCACAAAGACATGGAAATCCTAGTGGGGTTTTGGAGGTTCATGGTTCAGGGTTTTGGTTAAACAAATGGAAATCATAGTGGGGTTTTAGAGGTTCATGGTTCAGGGTTTTGATAGCTAAACCCTAAACCCTAAA